CCGCAAATAATAACGTGCAAGTTAGCAATTTCCACAACTATCTGCGGCTAAAGTAAACAGTCTCATGAGAATGGCTCGTCACCCCACGGAAGAGAGAGGCGGGGTCAGCAGAGCTCATTAGCATTTAAAGGAACATGCATTAAAATAGGTTGCTGAAAACAGAGCTGTTTTTGACAAGGTTTCGTTTTCTTTGTTTTAATACGCTGTTTAATGCTGTAAATCACACTAAGTGAGTTTAGGCAAAATAATATGCTTGTTAAAACTAAGGTAAATGGCAATTTTACAGGTTATTGTTCTTATAGTAAAACAGAGGTGGAAATGTCAAACACGTGCAGCTTTAGGCAGAGATACGCTTCATAAAGAAGGTGTTTAGATTAGACACAGTCAATTAAATGTACTTTAAATGCTATTATTAATGCAAATGCACAATCCTTCTGGCAGACGTACAATGTGAAGAATACATTCTCTATGGCTGTAAAAGAAAAACAATGAAAGGGTGTTATTCATTAGGATGCCAGTAAATTCTGTTCGAATGATTTTCTGTGTTCACAGCTTTATCAAAGAGAGCAAAAACAGGCATAAGCCTTGACAAGTCATTTCAGCTATGTATTGGAAAAAACACAACAAGAAAGCATTGTGATGTAAATACAAGGAAGGTGAATCACGTAAAATAAACATCTGAAAAGGAATAGTTCACCCCAAAATGAAAATCTGTAATCTTTGCAAATCACCTTTCCTAATAACATGCTAGTTAGCAAGTTCCGCAGCTAAAGTAAACAGTCTCATGAGAATGGCTCGTCACCCCACGGAAGAGAGAGGCGGGGTCAGCAGAGCTCATTAGCATTTAAAGGAACATGCATTAAAATAGGTTGCTGAAAACAGAGCTGTTTTTGACAAGGTAAAAGGGTGTTGTTTTACACTACCATTGAGAAATTTCAACCAAAGTATGTTATAGACTTTTCATAAAGAATCATATAAACTTGTGGAAAATGGGCATCCCTTTAAACATTTATAATAATAATAAATGGTTCTTGAGCAGCAAATCAGCATATTAGAATGATTTCTGAAGGATCATGTGACACTGAAGACTGGAGTAATGATGCTGAAAATTTAGCTTTGCATCGCAGAAATAAACTACATTTTAACAACATGTATTCAAATAGAAACAGTTATTTTAAATCATAATAATAATGCAATATTTTTGGTGAGCAAAAAAGACTTCTTTTAAAAACGTTTGACTCATAGTGTATATAGCAGATGGAACCAATGAAAAAAAAAGATGCATCCTACACTGTGAGACAGGTGTGTAATCACATACAGCTGACTAAAATATTTAGAGATTTGGAGCCTTTTAAAATCATATCTGGTTCTCTGAGCTCAAAGGCCAGATATAATACCAGGTAAACCCTTTTGATGGTCACATAATGCCGGATGTGTGGCATTACATCTATTTCAGCTCAATCCATTTAACCGGGCAGTGTTAAATGTCATGGTTTATGAACATGACATATCTGCTCATTTTATGTTTTTGTGATGGCTCATAATAGTAAAAGATCTTCCCAAACTCATTTGCGTTATAATGACTGCAGAACTTTGTCCCCCTGCTGTTCTCGAGGTAAAACAATTGTGTACACGTGCTGTGACTGGCGTACACTGATTATAGCCATATTTTCAAATATCTTCTTTTTCACTGTGATTAATCCTAGAGCTGACTGTTTCCATGGAGATATTCAAATGACTTGACATTGATTTTCCTAACTTTTCTTTGATGTTGCATCATTAAAATCTAATGGTAACCTCTGTTACCTTTGAGACCTTACCGTGTGGCAGTTGTTGTTTCATGGCAAAATGATTTAACAGCAGGTTAATGCTTAACCAAGTTTAATTCTCATCCCTGCGGAACTAACGTGTGCGTGCCATCATTTCTCAACTCAATCAAAACTTTTAAAAAAAGGTTGTGACATTTTTTAAGTAGATAGGAAAACTCTCTTATTGCTTTAATATAAGCACGGTCATCATGAAAATTTGTCTTTTGTTTCGTTTTCTTTGTTTTAATACGCTGTTTAATGCTGTAAATCACACTAAGTGAGTTTAGGCAAAATAATATGCTTGTTAAAACTAAGGTAAATGGCAATTTTACAGGTTATTGTTCTTATAGTAAAACAGAGGTGGAAATGTCAAACACGTGCAGCTTTAGGCAGAGATACGCTTCATAAAGAAGGTGTTTAGATTAGACACAGTCAATTAAATGTACTTTAAATGCTATTATTAATGCAAATGCACAATCCTTCTGGCAGACGTACAATGTGAAGAATACATTCTCTATGGCTTTGAGTTGAATTACTGAAATGAACTTTTCCACGACATTCTAATTTATTGAGATGCACCTGTAGATGAGTTTAGCACGGGATCGCTTGTTCAACAATGGATCATCTACAGTGAATGGGTGCCGTCAGAATGAGAGTGCAAACAGCTGATAAAAACATCACAATAATCCACAAGTAATAATCCAGTAAAAAGGTAAATCGCTTGTTGTCCTCTCATATCAAAATTCATCAAAATATTTGTTTAAAACTGTGCTTGATCTATGCATATTTTTCTCTTGATTCAGATGACTTTTTTTACTGGAGGAAACAATATTATGGACACAGGACTTCAGGACTTGATGTACTGTAGTTGATTTTTTTTTTTCGAACATGCAGCTTTTCACTTCACAAGATGTTAATTGATGAATTGGAGTGGTGAGGATTACTTGTGAATTATTGTGATGTTTTTATCAGCTGTTTGGACTCTCATTCTGATGGCACCCATTCACTGCGGAGCATCCATTGTTGACCTAGTGATGCTAAATTTCTCCAAATCTGTTCAGATGAAGATACGAACTCATCTACGTCTTGGATGGTTTGAGGGTGAGTGCATTTTCAACAAATCATTTACATTTTTTGGTGAGCTATTGCTTTAAGTTCCAGCAGTGAATCTTTAGAAACAACAGATGTTGTGTGTGCCAGTCATTTACTCTGATGGGAGTTTAATATTTTGTCTGTGCGCAGTCTGTTTTATCTCCTTTGCATTTGCTAGATTTTGAATGAGCTGCACATTAAATGCATTTTTCTAAAATTTGGGAAAGCACAACATCAAAGCACTGACACTCTAAAATGTAACTGTTTTGATATGAACAAACTAGAGATGTGCAAATATTTAACGCTAAAATGAGGTACAAGCAACCTCAAGGCTCAGTTTTCAGGGAATGCAAGAGCTGATAAAAATTTATACTTTTCATGCATTGTAAATAACTTTGTATGAAAGCATCTGCTAAATGCATAAAAACCAACAGACTGGTGGGATTGCTGAAACCTTCAACCTGCAAGAGCATCGCCGCAGGTGACAGAGTTCAATACGGAGACATAGTGAGATTCTCATTTATCCATACATGATGGAGAGACTTAGTCAGAGAAAGATCTTTTTCATGGTAAATTTCTTCTTAAATGAAATCCAGATGGGACTTGTAATTAAATGAAAGTCATTTGCATTCTTTGTATGGTGGAAGTTAATCATCATTAAAGCTCCAGTATAAAATATAAGTGAAACACACTATTTTATGACAAAAGCAAACTATTGTGACCAGTCGAACCTAAGAAAAAAAAAGGGGAGAAAAAATCAAAACAGTGTTCAAATTAATCTAATTTATTATATATTTTTTAATAATTTATTTGTATGGTGGAAGTTCATCATCATCAGAACTGCACAAGTATAAAATAAAATAAAATAAAAAAACTGAGGCATTACATTTACTAGTGTTTAAATTTAATTAATTTGATATTTATATTATACTGTAATTTATTTGTATGGTGGAAGTCATCATCAGAACTCCACAAGTATAAAATAGAATTAAATTAAAAACTGAGACATTAAATATAGTGTTCAAAATAAATTAATTAGATATTTTTATTATAATTTATTTGTAGGGTGGAAGTCATCATCATCATCAGAGCTCCACAAGTATAAAATATAAGTGTTTTTTTTTTTTGTGGCTAAAGCAAACTATTGTGACCAGTCTAACCTTTTAAAAACAGAACATAAAATAAAGCAGTTTTAATACAAAATGAGATGTTCAGTTTGCTAGAATTACAATTAATATAATTTGTTATTTTTATTCAAATTTATTTGTACGGTGGAAATTGATATTTATCAAAGCTCCACAAGTATTAAATATAAGTGAAACACACTGATTTTATGACTAAAACAACCTATTGTGTCCAGTCTAACCTTTAAAAAAAAAGGAAGAACAATTTCTTTTTAATTACAAAATGAGACTAAACTTACTGTATTATCATTAACATAATCAAATCTATTATTAATTCAATAAAATCAATTTTTGAATTCCAAATGTTCAATATTGTATAGCCCTTAAACATTTAATCATTTTTCTAAAGTTATATATGCAAGGTATTTGTGTTTTGTTGTCGGTACAATAATATTGTACGTATCAATGAGTATCCAAATGTAAAAAGAATATGTGTGCGCTAAAATGACAAGTTTGAATACACGTTTAGGTATTACAATAACAGGGGTTTGAACATTGAACCTAGCAGCTGAGATCATTAACTACCACCTGAAGACCGTATTAAACACAGCAGCAGGTGTGGAGTGATGATCTATTGTATTGGTCTCTGTATTCCTACAGGGCATCAATACAATAATGAGCTTTCTTGTGATATTGGTCTGTTATTTCTGTGTGACTGTAGCCCTGTGTGTGGTTCTGAAGACGGAGGATCCAATTAGTGAAAGATCGTGCCGTAAATCTCATGATAGGAACGTTCTCAGAAGTTCAACATCTCATATTCTTCAGAGAGATCTTCTCTTAATATTCTCTTAATTATTCTTAATAATCTTCTTTCCCACTCAGTGGAGGATCCAATCAATTAAGGCAGTTGAAGTGTTGATAGATGCACAAACCCACATCTCATAATGGGGAAGAAAAACAAAACGCTTGTTTTTGATTGTGTGGTTCTGAAGACGGAGGATCCAATTAGTGAAAGATCGTGCCGTAAATCTCATGATAGGAACGTTCTCAGAAGTTCAACATCTCATATTCTTCAGAGAGATCTTCTCTTAATATTCTCTTAATTATTCTTAATAATCTTCTTTCCCACTCAGTGGAGGATCCAATCAATTAAGGCAGTTGAAGTGTGATAGATGCACAAACCCACATCTCATAATGGGGAAGAAAAACAAAACGCTTGTTTTTGACGCTAGAAAATTGCCTAATCTGTTACTGTGTAGAAGTGCCTCATCTTTTCATAAATTATTGATTCCCTCTAATAATTAATTATGAATTGTTGCTGAATAAACAGGCACCTGAGAACATCATTCAGACGTCAGCATATGCTACGGATTACCGTTGTCAGCTGAATTAAAAACCTCATGAAATGTATTCTTTCCTGAGTTGACACATCTCCCCGTTTAAACAGGAAGTTGGGGGTGGGACATATTGAAGGGCTTTGTTATAAAGCTAAAAATGAACTACTTTTAACTATTTTTGACAGCTTTTAGTAGTACACTAGTATATTGATGTTACACCATGTCCTAACCTATGAAATGCGTCAGCCAATCAGAAGAGCGTGTGGGCGGGTCTTTCTCTCTGAGAACAAAATGGTTAAGTACATAATCAAATAGATAAGTTAAGTTCATTTCCGTCACAAAATAAAAATATTAAATGCAACTTAAGTCAATTTCTTTCTTTTTTTCCTCACAATTGCGCGTTTATATCTCACAATTCAGACTTTTTCCCACAACTGCAAGTTATAACTCGTAATTGCGAGTCTGAACCTCTCAATTCTGACCTTTTCTCAAAGATTTGATTTTATCTCTTGCAATTCTGAGTTTATATCTCATAATTCTACATTTCTATCTCACAATTTTGACTTTTTTTTTTTTCGCAATTCAGAATTTATATATTGTAATTTTTTTTTTTTCTCTCAGAATTGCAAGAAAAAAAACTCCTGATTGTGAGATATAAACTAAATTCAGAGAAAAAAGAAAAAAAATGCATTTACCTTTTTCATATTTGTGTTAATGTTCCATGGCGGAACTTCCATAGTAAGTACGTAATCAAATACATAAATATTAACCCATTTTAACATTATTTAAAAATACATACTGAGTGACTGAAACCATTTTTTTTCACACTGAGATCACAGTTATAACATTAATATTTTCTTACATTTATTTTCAAGATCTGAGGTAAATTTTCCATTGTCATTTTCAGTATGGCTATATATTCCAGGTCATATTAGACACTTTTAAAATTAATAATAAAGCACTTAATCAGTTCCTGAGATTACCATTGTCATAGTTTGTATGTTGTTCCAGCTGCAGAAATAAACAATTTCTAAAAAAAATTATCAAAAAATCAGTTTTTCCATTTCTAAAACCGAATCCATGTCGCGGCTGTTTAAGGCAAAAACATGTGTCACGGCATTGCATCACGTTTGATTAGGACACGGTGTTAGCTTTGAAACTAACAGCCGCAAAACTCAAAGTCATATATAAATACTCAATCTTATTTCTGTGCATTCCAGGTCAGTCTAGAGGAGGCTATAAATTCTTTGTTATATGTGAAGCATCTTATAGGTTATTCAGTGATACTGAATGGCTTTACTATTTCACTTTGGCTGTCATCAGTGTCTACAGCTCGGTGAAGCGGTTGTCATTTGAGAACGTTTGATTATAGACTCCTTCTTTCCCGCCAAGACCTGAAAGTGCGGTTCCGTTCTCTTTGACTATTCCTTCATCCTCTTCTGAAAGACCAGCAGCTTTTTCTTTGGCTCTGTTGTGAATAAAGCATCATAAACGGGTCAGATCAGCGAAGGACCTAACAGTAAGCTATGTCTGTGTCCACGAAAACCACTGGGGAAGCTATTTTGAAACTAGTTCTCGCAGCTATAACTACTTAAAGGGGTCATATGATGTTGCTAAAGAGAACATTATTTTGTGTATTTGGTGTAATTAAATGTTTATGCGGTTTAAGGTTAAAAAAACACATTATTTTCCACATACTGTATATAACAGTATTGTTTCTCTTCTATGCCCTGCCTTTCTGAAACATGTCGATTTTTACAAAGCTCATCGGTCTGAAAAGCGAGGTGTGCTCTGATTGGCCAGCTATCCAGTGCGTTGTGATTGGCCGAATACCTCAAGCGTGTGACGGAAATGTTACGCCCCTCACCATACTGTGATGCTGTGTCCAGGCCAGAGCGACGAGACAAAAACATTAAAACCCATTATAAACGAGACATTTGTTGCATTCAGTGGGGACATGATTACAGATTATAATGTCTTATACTGTCTTTTTACGCGTTGCATTGCATCGCGCCGCATAAACATAAAACCATGTCTGCATTTGACATGAATCGGAGAAATGACAAACAAGCGCTACTCTACACTGCTCAAAACTCGCATTTGAATCGTCAGTGGCAAATTCTTTAAATATGAAAACATACTTGTTTTATACAGCCGGCATTGCAGTCTAATCTACCAGGAAACAGTCCTCCATAAAATGCGCTGCACACATCTGAATATTTGGGTTGAAGTGTTCTGGAACAGTGTTGTAAATACAACTTAACCACTGATTTCTAGTCGTGCCCTCTTTTGGAAGACTAAACAAAGGATTTTCGCTTTTGCAACGAAACACACAGCGTCTTCACAACATGGCGGCGGCGGCAGCAACAATAAAGTTACGCCTTCTTTCTTTGCGTGAACATTTGGGTGGCGTTATGCAAATCTTCCCACATCGTGACATAGACATGTGGGGGCGTGTTTAAACAAGGCGTTTTAGGTAGGTGTGGTTGACTCTTAACTTTTATAAAGAATATCTCTTTGGGTTTGAGACTTTAGTCTTTGCAACTTTAGGGATCTTATATTCACGAACAGCTTGTAACACTCCAAAGAAAAAAACTTGAAATCACATCATATGACCCCTTTAAAAAGTAGTTAAATAGGCCTACAGCCAAGCTACAAGTTAACAATGCTAACTACATTCATTTTTAAGTCATTTTAAAATAACTAACAATTAAAGTATGTCCGAATTTGTGTTTTTTTTTGTGTTTAGTGTTTTTGAATGAATGAATAAATAAACAATTACAACTGAGGTGACAGCATTAAATCAAAACATACATTTCCATAAGATTCAATCTCTAAATGATATACACTACCATTCAGAAGTTTGGTTTGGGGTATTTACTTACTTATTTTTTGAAGAAAAAAAAACATTTTATTGTGTAAAGATATTTACTGTGTAATGTCACAAAATATTTTTATTTCAAATAAATGTTTTCTAGTCATCCAGGAATCCTGTAAATAATCTGGTTTCGACAAATATATTAAGCAGCATTTAACATTAACATTTAGTTTAGTTCTGTTATAATGTTTAAAAAAAAACAAAAAACAGATGAACTTAATCTTGTCAACTTTTGCTACTTTAGTTTGTTACTCCCTAACATTAGTATTAACATATGTGAGCCAATAACAAGTAGACAGCATTAAATACAGATATACACAATTTCTTATGAAAGTCACTGAAATCCCATTCATATTTATTAAAAATGGATGTGACTACCTCCCATTTGCACTTTAAATGCTAATGCATCTCAGAAAACAACAAAGCAACGCCTACTCACCTGTCAATCAAACACTGCACTAAAACTAGCTCCATAAAGAATAGTCTAATATACATAAGGAAAAGCTTGTACATATATGACATTTAGAGATCAAATCTGATTTTATGTGGCACAGGAGATGCATTTGAGATATGTATGTTACATGTTTGGTTAAACCTCAGTCTGTCTTGTGATCAGGTCACTTTTAACCATTTTAAACTGATTTTCTCCTGCATTTTTGTCTTGTTTTCCAGTACAAATATGTGACCCTGGACCACAAAACCAGTCATGAGGGTCAATTTTTCGAAATTGAGATTTATACATCAACTGAAAGCTGAATAAATAAGATTTCCATTGATGTATGGTTTGTTAGGATAGGACAATATTTGGCTGAGATACAACTATTTGAAAATCTGGAATCTGAGAGTGCAAAAAAATCAAAATATTGAGAAAATCGCCTTTAAAGTGGTCCAAATGAAGTTCTTAGCAATGCATATTACTAATCAAAAATGAAGTTTTGATATATTTGCGGTAGGAAATTTACAAAATATCTTAATGGAACACTTAATATCCGAATGATTTTTGGCATAAAAGAAAAATCTATAATTTTGACCCATACAATGTATTTTTGGATATTGCTACAAATATACCCCAGCGACTTAAGTGCTCCAGGGTCACATATTTCATTCTTATTTTTTCTTGTTTTAATCTATTTTTTATAGATTTTTCAGAAAACAGGACTTACAGTAATATCTTAAGTAATTTTGCTTGTATGTAATGTGTGTAAGTCACAATTTTGATAGACTAAATATATTGTCATTTTTCTTCTCAAGTATCTTGCATCTTGATTTAAAAATGTTTTGATACTGGAAAACCAGACAAAAAAAGGAACACAATCAATTTTTGCAGTGATGCTAGGTGTACCATTGATCACAATTAATACAATTTGAATGGTTTGTCAAAAGAGCATTACTGACCGTCGTTTTTTGCTTACTGTGGACATCAGTAAAGCCACGATCCCCACAGCCACAGCACCAATGACCACCCCAAACACAATGAGCCAGGGTTCAGTGTCGTATATGATTGGGGCCGCCAGTGTCGGCGGGATTCCCACGAACTCCAGGGTCATATCCGATAACAGGAATGCATTGTTTATGCGATGCTTATTCTGCCTGGAATAATGAATAATGTGTTAAGGGTCTGGCATGCTAAAGGAGAAACGGTAGTAGCACAGATCTAGATGCTCAGAATCATTTCATGATAAATACTGTCTGATTTTTAGGCTTTACCATCAAACCTCAAAGTTGTGCTCCTTATGCAAAGGCTTTTCTAAATAGGTGGCAAAATTATGCTGCCTAATAAGATATCTTGTTTTTTGTTCAAATCTATGATTATCGCATGCATCCTAGATGATTTGTGTAAAAACGCACAGAAAATGTAAATTCAAACTGGCAAACAAAGAAATGAATACATTAGATTTTATGAATTACTGAAAATTATGAAAACAATACTATTTTGTGCTTATTTAAATCTTGAATTACGGTGTGTTAAAATCACACTCCTGTGCAAACAATGCATCTCTTGTTTGTGCAATTAAATGTCACCAGTTATAGTTAATTTAACTTAATTTTAACTTAATTTTCATAATTTTTTGTAAACAACTTAACTTCACATGTGCTTTAGTGTTAGTCAACACATTTCAGCATAATGAATTAAAATGCATTTTAAAGTATAAAACGTCTTATTTGGCATTAGAAAATGCACTTTTTAAAAGTGTACTCAAGTGTGCTAAAAATTGCCATGAGCATATACTCTCTTTAAATACACATAAGTGTCCTTTTATTTCATTAATATTTCATTATCTGCAAATTCAGTTTTTTTAAATTATACTTTTAAATCTTTGAAGTAGCTGCATGCAGTTGGCATTCAAGCAAGCCAGCTCACTTGGAGGATTTGAAACAGGGCCAAAGTTTTTGCAATACTGTCATATTGTTGCCCATGTGCTGTGTACCATCTAGTAAGCCATCAGCACATAAAGTCTAAACCTATAAACCTACAGCACAGAGCACTGACTCACCTCACTGCTTCTTCTATTTGTTCTTTGGGGATCAGTTGGTCTGGATCACCTGGTGACGTCACCACGAACACGAACGACACTCTTTGTGTATCATTGCACACCAGTATGTTTGTAATGCTGAAAAAGATCAATTAGAAACATTTGAGTTTTTGGAGGCAGATGTGTTTTTTTTTTCTTTTTTTTTTCGAGGGCATCATAGAAAAAGCACTGAAACTAATAAAACAGCCTCACACAAACACACATACACCTACACAGCATAAAAATCATTGTTTTCGAGTATGAGAAGCAAAATTGTGTGGGATAATGCTTTTTTTTTTTTTTTTTTTTACAGAGAACATATTTAGAATTTAAGTGGATTTTTTTTTTTTTTTTTTTACTCATTTGCAAATTACTTTTTTTCTTTTAAAACTTATTTTTCTAATTTAAGTCATAGTGCACTCTTAAAAGTTGACAAAATTAACTTTTAGCCATCACAAACCTTTAAAATGTACTAGAATGAGGTCGTCCTTCCTACTAATATCACCAATGTGACTCTGATGCTAAATCCTATTCCTAAATAAATAAACACACACTACACTACCATTCAAACGTTTGGGGTCAGATTCTTTTATTAATACCTTTATTCAGCATTAAATTCATTAAATTGATCAAGAATGACATTAAAGACACATGTTTTCTTTTAATCAAAGAATCCTGAAAAATATCTCACTTTTAGAGAAAAATAGGAAGCAGCACAACTGTTGTCATCATTAATTATAATTAGAAATGTTTCTTGAGCTGCAAATCAGCATATTAGAATAATTTCTGAAGGATCATGTGACACTGAAAACTGGAGTAATGATGCTGAAAATTCAGTTTTGCATTACAGGAATTATATTTTAAAATGTATTGAAATAGAAAACATTTTAATATTCAATAATTGTTTAACAATATTACTGCTATTACTGTGTTTTTGATCACATAAATGAGGCCTTGGTGAGAGAAAATATTAAAAAAATCTTACCAGCCCCAAAATCTTGAACGGTATTTTATACAATTTTGCTTCCCAAATGAATGTATCTTGTTTTAAAGATGCATATATATATATATATATATATATGGTATATATAATATATATATATATATATATATATATATATATATATGGTATATACGGTATATATATATATATATATTTTTTTTTTTGTCATTTGAATTCACATAATGCCAGTAGACATGGTTTGTCAATATATACTGGAAGCAGCCAATAGGAATCAAACACAAACAGCATCTCATCAATGTAACATGATGCTGCAAAAGAAGCGCATGCTCCCTATCCAGCACACCGGCATCAATCAATACTGCGGTTCTCTCACAAACAAGCCTGAAGCATCTCTGCAACACTTCAGCTGTGAGATTTCACAATCGTTAGGGGCCGATATCTGGCAGGGAAAGGTTAACCTCAATTGATTTCCCTTGACCCATTAGCGTCTATATTGGCCCGTAATTACACTGGTTAAATTAATCAGTCGCGCTTTCCCTACATCCGAGAGCGGCTCAATTGCACGAATATAATTGAGGGGAAAAACATTGATTAAAAAATACATATTTAATCCACTAAAACGGGTCAGGTTAAGATGACATCATGCATTTCTCTCTTCACCTGTAGATGATTACTGTTATTATTTAATGTGTAATATAACTGCTAGATCATAGCGCTTTGATAATAATTATTAAACAAAATGATATCTATTCATTGCACATCATACCTCATTTGAAGGAAAAACCTTTAGATGCAGCAGTTACCTGATATGTGGTATTTTATCTCTTTCATTTTAAACACATAATGTATCTCATGGAAGTAGATTCTTAATGATTTTCATTTGAAAGTTTATTTAAATTATCTGTCAAATGAATAATATGTGATATGAATAACTTGGTTAAATATTCATGCTGTGAATGTGACGCTTCATTTCATGAAAGTCACTAAATGATAGCTTTGTGAAGCTTTATGAAAATACGTTTAAAGCAAGTACTTGGTTGTACAATCGTGTTTGTTAGTGTGTTGCTACTGGATTTTTTATTTAATTAAATTATTTTTTACCTATTTTATGTTTGCAAGATGAAAATCACAAGTTTTAGCACAAAAAGTACTAGCACACCTCATTGAGGCATTATCTATGGCAAATAGAGTTGAATTGAGACACACACTGGAAGTTTGCTACTTAGGGTTATAAAATACTACAAGAAAGTCAAGAAGATAAGAAAGGCAGTGGAAACGCTGCTCTGGCCTACATGGGAGCTGATATAGATTTGCTTGTCAGCAGCATAGCAATGGAATCTGAGACTGTGCCGTCAAATTATTTGCCGAAGGGGAGGCATATAAATTGGAAAGAGGAGAGGGCTGTGATTGGAGCCTTGGGGGACACACTGCGTTAGACTGGAACAGTACATGATCTATGTTCCTCAATAGATACAAATTACTTCCTTGTGCTAAGAAATGATGTTAGCCAGAGGAAAACTCTACCAGTGATGCCAAAGGCTGATAAGCGGTGAGTAGAATATTACGGCAGACGGTTCCAAAAGCTGCTGGATATTAAGAATTAACGCAAAAAATGTTAAACCCATCTGCTATTTTTAAAGTAATGTAAAACAGTGCAACTCAAACCATTGCAACACATGACAATGCAATGCAAGGCAGAGCAAAATAATGTAACAATCTCAGTTTATCTTAAATTGTTAGCCCATCTGTCATGTAATATAACATAATGCAAATATAGCCCAAAGCAATACTGCAACAACACAATACAATGCAACACAAAGCAAAGTAATGGAACGCAATACAATGCAATGCAGAGCAATGTAACATAATATGATCTTGGTTTATCTGAAATTAACATCTCAAAGCAAAGCAATGCAGCACGAAGCAAAACAATATAGCTTAATATAATCTTCCTTTCTTTGAAATTCTTTGAAATATTTCTTTGAAATTGTTAACCTTTCTGTCATGTAACATAATATAATGCAAAGCAATGCTGCAACATAAAATAATAAAAAGCAACACAACAAATGCAACGCAGAAATGCAGAGCAATATAATAAAATAATCTTGGTTCATCTGAAATGAACATTTCTGTTATGTAATATAACGTAACAATGAAATATAACAAAAATATAATGCAAAGCAATGCAACACAAAAGAATGCAACTCAAAGCAATGAAACAACAAATGCAAAGCATGCGGTGCCAACAATAAAATTAATATAATCTTCCTTTTTTTTATTTTTTATTATTAGCCTAATGTCTCTGTCATAGAAAGGAATGGAATGGAATGCAAAGCAATATAATGTTCTAATCTTGGATTTAATTTCTTTGTCTTCTGAAATGTTTTAGTTGAATGTTCATCTAACATTTTTAATGTTTCTATTTGTTTTAGAATGTTAAGAGAAAATTCAAATGATAAAGTGGAATGCTCCCTTGACGTTCACATAACCATGTAAAAAAAAACATTTTAAAAACTGGATTTTTTTTTTTTTTTTTATTATTAGCCTAATGTCTCTGTCATAGAAAGGAATGGAATGGAATGCAAAGCAATATAATGTACTAATCTTGGATTTAATTTCTTTGTCTTCTGAAATGTTTTAGTTGAATGTTCATCTAACATTTTTAATGTTTCTATTTGTTTTAGAATGTTAAGAGAAAATTCAAATGATAAAGTGGAATGCTCCCTTGACGTTCACATAACCATGTAAAAAAAAACATTTTAAAAACTGGATGTTCAGAGAACATTCAGAAATAATGTTTGCATAACTTAATGGGAAAATTTGCGAAATGTTCATAGAATATTTTTGTTAGTCGGGTAAGTTAATGTAAGGCAAGATAATGTAACCCAAAGCAATGCTGCAACAAAGCAAGCAGAGCAATGCAAAGAACACAAAGCGGAGCAATGCTAAGCAATATAACATAATATAATCTTGCCTTATCTGAAATTGTTAACCTCTCTGTCATGTATTTTAACGTAATGCAGTATAATATAACACAAAGCAATTCAATGCAAAGCAATGCTTTGAAGAAACACAAAGCAAAACAATGCAAAGTAATGCAATATAACGGAGCCTTATATAATCTTGGCTTCTCCGGTTTCATGTTTCACATATTTTACCCTTAGTCATGTTATAATATTTCACATTTTACAGTTGTAAACCTTAGGTAGGTTAGGTTAATGTTCTCATTTGAATACAGCATGCAACAAGCAATAACTGCTTTTCCATCTAGAAGTGTTGCCAGATAATTCACGTTACTTGTCTGAAGGTTTCTGAAACATACCACCTGTTTCCCTCAGGTACAAAAACCGAGAAACTAAACCCAGCACGTGAAAGTATCTACGGCTGTAGAAGCACATGAATATTTAATGAAGCAAGCACTGAGGAAGCTTATGATTGGCTGTCTGTTGTTAAAAAACACATGTTGCATTTCAGAACCCCAGTGTTTCACACTGTTGCAACCATTGACAGGTTTAGCCTCGTCCTGACGGTGATGACAAAACCTGACCCACGCACGAAGAACAGACAGATTTGACTCTAAAAGCCATCAGCTCTTACTCAACAGCTGTGGTCAAATCATTCTGCTCACGTTTTCAATCACAATCAAAGTGGTCATCACAAAAACAACCTTGGACTGAGCAGATTTGCTGTTGATTATCTTTTGTAAAGTGTGTCACCTGCTTGTCGGTGGAAAGCGTTACTCACTTATACGTGTCTTGTTTAGTTTGTTTCCTCATCGCATACGCCAGAGTAGATCTGAAAAGAAACATCTCGCTCTCATTCCACTCATACTGAGATACACAGAAAAAAAAAAGTTTAATTATTGAACAAGTTGCACAATATGCCTGAATAAAATTATGAATAGGACATCAAACCAAATGAAAAGAGAAGTAAACAAAAACCTACGGCATCATCTCCGAGGGCCGTTTTAATGCTGAGTCTGACTTTAAATCCATCTTGACTGTCTACAGAGAGAGAAAGAGAGTTCATTTATTTACAGAAACCATTGCTTGCTGCTGTTGTGTAGATCCGTTACTTCTTGTTCTTTTTGGGATGATAAGGCTTTTGCTGAGTTTGTCCTTATTTAGCATCCTCGTAAAAGATTCTCATTAGGGAATTGATGTGTCACTTTATTTCTCAGTGATTTCTCAAGATACCGAACTGAATGAGATAAGAGAATAGGCCAAACAAGAAAGTGAAACTGTTTTTTTTTTGTTTTTTTTTGGTCAGACAACAAAGTGTAGAATCCAGTTTAGGATGTTTAGACGCTTCAGCGATGATTTTGTCCTTATTTAAACTCTCTTGAAGTTTCAGTTCACTGTAATTTCACACTCCCTCTGAACATTTTCACTTTCTCATTTCCTTTAAATGTATCCTGACTATCGTGAATTGAGTTCCCTTTTCCCTGGCAGGCAAATCTCTCAAAAATATCATATTAAAAAAAAAAAGAAGGCAATGCAAGACAATGAAGCCTAAAACTATTTAAAAAGACTAAAACTGTTAAAAAAACATTTTAATTGCTTGAAACAAAATAAACCAAAATAAAATACGCAAAATAAGTACTAGAAGTATTCAAATAACTAAAACTACTAAAACTAATGAATACAAATGAGTACAGATTGTATAGACATTTAAAAAAAACTAAAACTAATAAACATGACAAAACACAAAGAAAATACTCAAAAGTGAAAACAGAAAATAGAAAACAAAAACAAAACAAATTCAAAATATTTATAAAAGATTATAGTAGTATATATATCAGTGATACTGAACTATGATAAATGACTAATTTCTCACTTTCTCATTTTCTAATTCTCATTACCATGACTACAGATATTTGACTTTTTATATATTTAATATATTTAGGCATTTTTATTCTATTAAATTCAAATACATTCAATTAAATAGGGCGATACAACAGATGAAATTGTGTGTGTGTATATATATAGTAATGACAATAAAATTATAATAAAACATACATAAAATAAAGATAAACTGATTTTTAAAATGAGAATTGGGGGATTTTTCCTCATAATTATCATGATCATGACCATTGATTATGAGCTGAAGTATGTCCTGAACATCTTTTTTTTTTAATCCATCCATCTTATTGATTGACTTGAAAAAGAAAGAAAAAAACATTATTATCTGCAAATGCTTAATTCTATCTGATTGAACACATTTTCTAGTACATTCATTCATCTTTAACACTATTATTCAGCCTCTCAGGTGGCTCAAAGACCGCGTTTTCTTTCCTCTGTGAGATTAAAAATGACTGCAGCTACTCTAAACTCAGAAGAAATGACCAACCCCTCAGCAGGTGCAAAGACCAGAGGAAAACGATTTCACTCAAACAGACACCGATTCGCACAAGATCCCGGGAAATCTGAGATGTTTTACCTTTACAAAGATCCTTTGCTACCAGGGGAGGCAGAAATATCAGAAGAAGAACTCCAGCTAGCATCTCTGTCTATCTGGATGAGCAACTTTATCTCATATGCTGCTGAATTCAGCGGTCAGAGATTATAAACCGGTCAGAGCATAAGAGACAAAGGGCTGGACGGAGCTGTTTAATGGTTAAGCGATGACTAGACCTGCCTCCAGAGTGAGAGAGAGAGAGTCAGAACAAACACCATATATTCACATATAGTGGAGACACTGTCATAAATGTAAATTTAAAAGGAGAGCTGCGTGCCTGGCTGCCTTTGATTGTTTCTGCCGTGAAATAATAAAGTGAAATAGTGTGGGAGTCGGTAAACAGCTCTCCAGCTTGTGCTCAGGTCTGTGAATGTAAATGCGTATGATTTCTCTTCATCATAACAACAGATGTGGCTGCGCCGCTGACCTGCTCTGTTTTTAGTTTTTGCTTCTGTAATAACTGTCTTCTCGTCTCAATATGTAAACACTGCAAACACCGGGTGTTTACAGCTGTATGATGTGCGATATCAACATGAACCTAAACGTCATTTGGACTTATGCCTTTCTGCTGTTGTTTAAAGTTGTATTTTTCATTTTTAATGATGTGTTTCGGAATATGTCGTCGGTAACATCGCTTCAAAGTGTCGGCGTACTCACGTAGGTGGGTCAGACATGGGTTGTTTCTGAAAAATACAAGGGAAATCAGTTCTCAGATGAAGGCTGTGCTTCCTGTGAACCCCTGATGATTGAAGCAAACCGCTTCTTCTGCATCTTCCCTTTGCTTGAGATGAAAGCTTTTCCTGCAAGACCAGAAAAAGTCAAATCAGACAAGAAAGAAGTTTGATGGTTAACCACCTTCTGACACTGCAAGATGAGGAAACGTACAATGCGGTTAATTTGTTACCTAATAAAGATACCAGGTTTATTCATTCATCGTTGTATACACTCTCAGAAAAAAAGGTACAAAAGCTGTCACTGTGGCGGTACCTTTTCAAAAGGTACACTTTAGTACCTTTAAGGTACTAATATGTACTCTTTAGGTAGGCCTATAATATGTACCTTTAAGGTACCAATATGGACTCTTTAGGTACAAAGGTGTACCCCAGTGACAGCTTTTGTACCTTTTTTTCTGAGAGTGTACCTCAAGTTTCATATATGTTTTATAGGCCATGTCCACACGTGCACGGGTATTTTTATAAACAGAGTTTTTCCTTCTTCCATTTAAAAAAAAATCACCGTCCACATGAAAACGCAAACGCATGTTATGAAGCACTGTCAAGAGCATGCCAAACCAACAGGTGGCGATATAATCTCAACCGTAAAGCCAGGTTGGCCAATCAGAAGTCTGAAAATGTTTCCATCAGGTGGAGATAACAGCGCAGGCGCCAACGTCACAAGCCAAAAACGCTGGTTTCGCTGTCTACACGACAACACTGCAACCAGAGTTTTTGAAAATCTTCACCCTGAGTAAGTGAGTAAGTAAGTGACGTGACACGTGGCCAAGTATGGTGACCCATACCAGGAATTAGTGCTCTGCATTTAACCCATCCAAAGTGCACACACAGCAGTGAACACACACACACACCGTGAACACACACCCAGTGCAGTGGGCAGCCATTTTTTTGCTGCGGCGCCCGGGGAGCAGTTGGGGGTTCGGTGCCTTGCTCAAGGGCACCTCAGTCGTGGTATTGAAGGTGGGAGAGAGCGCTGTACATTCCCCCCCCCCCCCTACAATCCCTGCCACTACAAAACCTTTGGGTTATGAGTTTGACTCTCTAACCATTAGGCCACGACTTCTCACAGGCGTGGCCTAATGGTTAAACACCCTGGCAGGCGTTTTCAAAAATGTTCGGTTTCAGTGAACTGGTGCTGCGTTTGTGTGTGGACGAATGGCCTAAACGTGTAGAAAAAGCTACGGTTTTAAAAATAACCGCGTTGGTGTGGACAGGGCTATAGAATCAGTCAATTTATATTTTTATGCAGCAGAGGAACATTAAATACTGCGACAAAGGCATTTAGATTTCTATTATGATAAATACTGTTCTTTTGAACTTTCTATTCATCAAAGAATTCTGAAAAAAAAGTGTATCATGGTTTCCGCAAAAATATGGATCTGCACAACATTGATACTAATCAGAAATGTTTCTTGAGCAGCAAATCAGTTCGAATGATTCCTGCAGGATCATGTGACACTGAAGACTGGCGTAATGATGCTGAAAATGCAGCTTTGCATCACAGGAATAAATTACATTTTAAAATATATTCAAATAGAAAACAGTTATTTTGGATTGTAACAATAGTTCACTTTTTTTATTATTTAAACAAATAAATGCTGCCTTGGTGAGTATAAGAGATTCTCTTTCTCTGTCTAAAAACATGTTTAATATTTAGATATTAGATAAAAGCAAATATTATAACTTTCTGTAAAAAACCCAACATAATTTCCCTAATGAGTATTTTGTCATGTTTTCCAGTAAAAATAAACATCCTTACGAAAAGATAAATGTATTTGAGAAGCAAAGTAGCATCAGATATTACGTTTTCAGAGAATATATCCTGAATTATGTGTTTCGTCTCAGCCCCTGGCAATTTTCTATGCATAAACTTCACTAAATTCTGTTAAATTTATGCTTAAAACAAGAAACAACACTTTGCCGACAGGGTAAGAAAAATAAACCTAATTCAAGATATATCCTCTTACACAATTTTGCTACTCACAGAAATGTCTTGTTTTCAGGAGGTTTAATAAGATATTTTGCCGTTAATATTTGCAAAAACAAATTTTCCAAATGCCACGCTTATAGGATTTTAGTGCTGTTTCAACTACTTTTTCCACATCAGTAAATTCCACACAGGATATAAAGTCATATGAGACGCTGTTAGATAAGTGTCTGTCACATATAAATGTCATAAAATGTCACGCTTTGCTACCTGAGTGAACTATTGTTCACATGAGACATGCAACACCCCACAACTACAGTACCTTCATCAACTCATCATTTATAGTGGGAGAGATCAGTCTTCCTGAAGGTTTTTTCACTGTAATAGGAAATACGCAGGACACATGAACTCAAGCCAAGCCAAACCTGACCTGAGGTGGAGAGAAATATAAAATGTGGCTGATTGGCCAGTCATTGTCAATGTGTGTGTCACAATGATCATAGTTCATACATGAGCTCTTGCGGAGCTCAAACCTGCAGCCTTTGTCTAACCAGAGTAGATGTTTAACCACTAAGCCACATCACCCCACAATTCTGAGTTTATTTGCCCGACACAAGATGGCAGTAAAGATCTAATGTATTCTCTTTCAAACTCAAAGGGAAATCATTAATACTTCACAGTTAGTATTCTACATATCTGTGATCTGTTCATTATTAATTGTGTCAATAATTCACATCAAATGCATAAAAATGAATACAGTTTGCTATTTGAAATGGCACACTCTCTTTCAAGTTCTAAACATAAATAAAACATAAGTAAACAAGCAAGTGTCTCGTTTTCATGCCGTTTTAAAATGTCATTATTTTTTCATACTTTTAATATGAAATGAGCATTTTTTAATTCAATGCAAATGCAAGAATAAATGTAACATTTTAAATGCAAATGTAAATTCCAAGTCTTTAAATCTCATACAAAATGTAAATATAAATATTAATATGAAGGTAAAATTTTAAATACAAATGTAAAAGTCTTTCAATTTTGAACATAAACTGTATTCATACATATTTATAAAAAAAAGTAGCATTTTAAATACAGACGTTGAGGTTTTTAAATCTTCAACATAAAATGTAAATATATTTAATATATGTAGTCTTTACTAAATGTAATAATTTAAATACAATGCAAATGTTAAGTCTTCGTACGTTAACACTGAATATACATTTAAATATTAAATAACTATGAAATCTAATCTAGTCTAAATACATTTTAATCTTCAAACACATGTAAAATATTATTTAAAATATATTAATACAAATATCTTTATGTTGTTAAATCTGTATAATTTTAAATCTATCTTAAAACTCTTTAAAGCAAGTATAAAGCTATTCTAAATCATTAAAACACTATGTAATTGTAAACATTTAGGCTACATTTAAAGTCTTAATATCTATTAATGTACATATGTATTACAAAAAATGACATATCAACGTAAATATTTAATCAGAATACAAATTTTACCTCTAAATATTTAGCCTGGTGTGTGCAGTGAGAGTTTGTCTGGTTTTGTGGCGCCTCTCTGCGGTCGGATGTGGTACTGAGAGAGAATCAGCTAATCTTCGTGCGTGTGTGTGTGTGAATCTGTACTGGAGCACCGCAGAGCGGACGCGACTCCCTCCCTCCCTCCGCCACAGGGCCACGGAGAAGGCCGTACGTCTGCGGCTCGCGCTCGGGGATGGATCAGGGATCCGCCGCGGGCACCGGAGGGACCTTCATTTCCCTGAGCGACACTGAGCAGAGATGTTACTCGGGGCTGTACGCGCTCTGTCAGCCCGACAGCAGCGGCAAACTGGCGGCGGGGAAAGTGGCGGAGCTGTTCCGGGCGTCGCAGCTGCCGGCCGAGACGCTGCACCAGGTGAGTTTTCACCGCAGCCCCTCAACGCGCTCCAGTGTCAGATATCTGCTGTGTCTGGGTGTACAGTCAGTATGTGGCGGTGTGTTCAGCAAAGAGTAAAGTTGACGGACCTCGACTTGGTACAATGATGATATCAAATGGGAATACTATAGTAGGCTACTATGATATGTATACAATAATTGAATTAGTACCATATTCATACACTATTGACAAGATGCATAAAGGAATTGCATGGCATTGCCATTCCCAAACACACATGACAGTAGGCTATCATGGTACTTTTTGACAGTTGAAAGTGAACTATGTAGTTTATACTGTAACTGTACTGTGGTATGTATATATACTAGACGCAGTATACTAGATTATATGATAATAAAATAATTCTAGATATTATAGGAATACTGTATATGTTTATATGTAATCTCCCTCGTGGGATTAATACATTAATAAAGTTGAAGAATATCTATTTATCCATCTGTGCTGGATAGATTACTTACAAATGTGACCCTGGCCCACAATTTAAAAAAAAATTTTTTTTTTTTAGATTTATACATCATCGAAAACTAAATAAATAAGCTTTCCATTGATATATGGTTTGTTAGGATAGGACAATATTTGGCCAATAAATTAATATTTGAAAAATCTGGAATCTAAAGGGTGTGAAAAAAAAAAAAATCTAAATATTGAGAAAATCACCTTTAAAGTTGTCCGAATGAAGTCCTTAGCAATACATATTACTAATCAAAAGTTAAGTTTTAATATATTTATAGTAGGACATTTACAAAATATCTTCATGGAACATGATCTTTACTTAATATCCTAATGATTTTTGGCATTAAAGAAAAATCTATAATTTTTAGTGTTACTTATGACTGCTTTTGGGGTCTAGGGTCACAAATGTTACAAGAATTGAACTATAGTTTTTAATATAATCCATTACATTACACATCTTAGGTAAAATAATCAGACTACTTTTTGATTACTTTTAGATTACTTTTCACCTAACTCGTTTCTCACATTGATTTAAATAAGATAATCTTGTAAAATAAAAAAATAATATTGATATAAAAATACAAAGAGAAATAAAATGTATTTAATTCAGTCATATATATTATTTGATCATATATATATATATATTATTTTAATTAAATTAATTAAGTCTTTGTACTGTAGAAGTATACTTTACTAATTTGATAGTTTGTTTTCCATTCTTAGTACATTTGATGGTGTGATATGGTAATTGATTTACCATAGTATTGAATGATTACCATATTTATATACTATATAATATATTGTTATTACTCTGGTATCATGCCCCCAAAATGTGTAGTGTTTATACTAGATGCTGTAGTCAGTATACACTCATTTAGTAATATATTGTTATATATATCTATATATTATATATTCTTATATTCTGACTTGATATTGATTTATCTTGTTGTAACTCACAGTAATTTAATAGTAAAATGCTGAATTTAGGGGCATGTGCTTGTTTTGAAGACGTTTTGCTGATTTAACCAGTTTAAAAACACTTCTGTATGTCAGTGATTCATTATTAAGAGCATTTGAAGCTTCATTCTTTACAAACATCAGCATTAGCAGTGAGAATTTTCTGCTGATGTTTGTATTACCAGGCATTTTTACAGTAGTAAACACTAGGATGCGTCATGTGTCATTTAACACGTCATATGAGTCAGGTGAAAGGTGTTTACTGTGTTTAGTCGGTCTTAATGCTTTGTGGGTGGTGTTCAAATACTCAGCTCCACAGTTGTGTGTTGTGGCTGAGGGTGAAGAGCCGTGTGAGCGTGTGAAATCGGGATGGCAGGAAGGGTGCTGCCTCATTCACACACAGATAACACTGGGCTGGACGGGCTCACAGGACTGGTTGTTAGGCGGGATACAAATAATAGCTCATTTCACTTCAGTGATCCTTGAAAAGGTTTGCATGTTGCTCTGGTTTACCTGTCTTAACCGTGGCTTGTGTACTGCACACATACCAGCTTCATCACTGTGTCTGTCACGAGACTCTGTTCCCCTTTCGGGCTCTGTCTTTACATTTATTTTGAAAGATGAAGCTCGCGATTATGGTAGGGGCGTTACATTTCCGATGAGTGCTTGCGGTGTTCGGCCAATCACAATTCACTGGGTCAACTGGCCAATCAGAGCAGACTGCGCTTGTCGGAAGGAGAGACTTTGTAGAAAACGAAGCGTTTGAGAGAGGCGGGGCATAGAGGACCTACAATAATGTACAGTATTTGAAAAATAATGTGTTTTTTGAACATTAAAGCATGTCAACATATTCTGTTACACCAAATACACAAAATAATGATCTTTAAAAAAGCATCATATGACCCCTTTAATAAACCAGCAAGAAGTTTACATTGACCATATTAGTTTTATTTTAGTCTTAAATTTAGCCACATTTATTTAAGGAACAGTGTTTTTTTCCCATATTATTGATATACTGTTACAGCTTTTATTAACAGTTCAAATTATTGTTTTTAATTTTTATATGTTCCATTTAATTTGAGTCATTTTTGTAGCATTTTTGTCATTATTATTTTTAAATGTCTTTATTTTTTATTTAAGTTTTTTAATTTTTTTATTTCAGGTTTAGTTATTTTAGTATCAAGTTAAGCTAAATTAAAATGAAAAGTCTTTTCTTTACAAAAGTTAATAATTCAGGCTGGCTTCTCTGCAGTAATATCATACACCTTTTTAATTTATTTTTTATTTATTCATACAATGTTATTTATTTATTTTATTTTAATTAAAATTAAAATTTGAACACTGAATTACAGGGGCCATTTTTTTGCTACTGTACCTTTAATACTTAAATGTAAATAGCCATTTTGCATGTGCTTTGCCCTTGCTTTGCTCATTTCACATTTTACTCACTTGTGAGTTATTATGGTGTTTAGGATTAGTAGTAGCTTATCTGTCCTACTTATTACCTCACTGTGACTGGGTCAAGTTTCTGAACACCCGGCTGGCATTGTTAATGTGTTAAATTGGATTGTGTAACACAGTTCGTAGTTCGGGAAGAAGGAGGTGGGAACCGGCGAACATTTAAACAAAACTTTAATAATAAAATAAACACAAAACAGCACGACAGCCCCTCACGGACGACTGCCGTCACAAACAGAACCAAAACACAAAATAAAATCCAGGCCTGGTCCTCTCTCGTTCTGCACTGTCGTCACTCCTCCTTTTATCCTTGCGGAGCTCCTCTGTGGGACTCGAGACCGGTGAGTGGCGCAGGTGTCGTGCATTATCACTTACTCCACCGGCCTCGCTCCGTTCCCACGGCTCTCGGCCCCGCCCCACTCGTCACAGACGGTCATGTGTTAATATATTAATCTGACATCAGAAGTTTTTGCAGCTTAGTTTCAATAGGCCTAGTCTTTTTAGACTGGGGAAGCTTTGAAACTGTTTTCATAGTCTATCATACTCTTTTATTATTATTAAAAAAAAGAATTAATATATAAATAATAAATAAATAAATTTTCTTATGGTATACACTACCATTCAAAAGTTTTGGGTCAGTAATAATATATATATATATGTTGTGTGGGTACAAACACTAACTCTACAGGGATTGCTGCAGCTTCCATACCCTGCACCGATCGTAGCTGTCTAAAAGGATTGCTGTGCTGTCCTGCTGTGGCCCTCTGGGAGCGTCGTACTGTGCCTTCCAGCCCAGCAGGTTGTACAAATCGCTCCTCCACTCCGAGGCCTTCCTCTTCAGCATTTGTGACCCCAGATGACAGATTCTCAGGCAACACCACCCGAAGCTCCTCCCAGTCTTCATCTGACTCAGTCTCTAATTGTGCCATGCTTGTGCTTGACTCTGTACCTTGATGCTCACTTAACACTACGGACTCTTTCTGTAGTGGTCCACAACGACGTAACTCCAAGCGATGCACATTTTTAGGTGGGTGCGATCGATCCACTGGCACTACCTTATACACTGCCTTATCTGAATCCAGTCTTTCCAACACGCAGTAAGGCAAATCCTCCCACACATCCTGGATCTTATTCCATCCCCTCACTCTCCGATTCCGCCGATATACCAAATCACCTGGATTCAGACTAGCATCTTTCACTGCCCCTTGCTGTTTTCGTTGTCTCTGCGTAACTATGTTCTGTAGCCGCTTCTGCGTCAGACTATAAGCTTGCTGAAGTCGGTGCTGATGTTCCGCCACCCAGGTCTCCATAGTACCTTCTTCCCTCCTTCTGCAAGCCCCGGTCAACAGATGGTCAATTGGGAGATCCGGTCTTCTACCGAACATTAAGAAAAAAGGGGAAAATCCAGTGGTAGCATTTTCAGTCGTATTATATGCGAACACCACTTCATGCAAATACTCATCCCATCTCCATTTCTTCTCCTGAGGAAGGGCCCGGAGGAGGTCATGCAACGTTCTATTAAAACGCTCACACTGCCCGTTACCTTGGGGGTGAAACGCTGTGGTTCGGCTCTTCTGCATACCATACACTTTACACAATTGCTGCACGATCTCAGCCTCAAAGCACCGACCCTGATCAGAATGAATCCGAGCTGGAACGCCGTATCGATGAATCCACTCCTTGACCAGGACCTTTGCCACCGTTACAGCCCTCTGATCAGCTGTGGGTACAGCAACTGTGAATTTAGAAAACACATCCGTTATCACAAGCACATTTTCTTTTCCACTCTGGGAGTGTTCCAACACCGTAAAGTCCAATGCCACCACTTCCAAGGGTTTTGACGCTTGAATGCTGTTCATTACTGTTCTTACTTTAGGCTGAACGTCTTTAGACACAATGCAACGGAGACAATTTTTGCAAAAATTCTGCACATCTTGGTACATCCCTGGCCAATAAAAGCGTTGACGTATTAATTTAAATGTTCGGTCAATCCCCTGATGGCCTTGGTGGTCATGCAGCTGACTAAGTACCTCCTGTTTTAACACTTGAGGTAACAGAAGCTGTTTGACCCAACCCCCTCTAGCATCTGCAAC